TCTTGAGATATAGATGTCACAAAAAATCACAAAAAATGCACTTTTTCAGTGAGGGTGTCTTCAGAAAAATTTGAATATCTTGAGAACGGAACAATATTTTTTCAAACGGCTTGCGTCAAAATTTATAGAACAGTTTCCTCTATTATATGTTGAAAATCGAAGAAAATCTGACGACCTCGATTGAGCAGGGTCGATCGTAGCTTATCTGAATTGGCTCATACAGATAATATCAATAAAAAAAATGTTTGAAATTTTTTTATACAATTTCTGTATCTTCATCGTTCATATCAATATGAATATGTGTTATTTTTTTCTTAAGAAGATGATCAAGAATTAAATCATCTACAATTTAAAAGAAAAATAAATATAATTATTAATTAATTCATTATTTTATTAATTAAAATCAATTAAATGAAATATTTTACTTTTTAATTATTATTAAATATTTTTTTTGTGCAAAATTAATAATTCATAATGAATACAGTTGAAGGTAATGACTAGCAAGAAGAATACGTTTCAATCAATATGCTTCAACAATAAGTATATTTATTTGATGAGGAATTTGACATAAGATTTTATCTGAAATTCTTCAAAGAACTTGATCATCTATTGAAAATGTCTGATCATATACTGACTTGATGATCCTGTTATTTATATCAAGATTAAAAATAGAAAGAGGATCAAATCGTTGATTGACATTTACAAGGTGAACAAAGAATCTTAACTATCTTTATTTTATTTAAAACAATGAGTAAAAGTTTATCGAATAAATCGAGTATATTGAGCTTGTTTTTTTTTATATCTAATTCATACAATCTACGCTCCAAACACAGCGAGTACTGAATTAACGTTAAGGTACTTTTTTAGTCTGTGTGGAGCCTTAGCGATCTAATAACCAACTCATTCTTATTTTGTCAAATATTTTCCACATATAATGTGCTCCTTTTGACACACAATATTGTATTTAGATGAATAAAGTAAATTATATCAAATAGATCTTAGTTAGAAGCAGTCTGTATACAAATTCTTAAAGATATTATTCAATAGAAGATAATACTTGATGTTATTTTGTTCGACTTAATTAATAATCACTGTAATAATTATGGATATACCAGCATTCATTTCTACTCTGTCGACCGTAGAGATGTTCAAAGTAAGCTTTTTTCATACTGTCTATGAATATCTCGATTGTATTCGATTATAGAAGGCACATGATAATTATCATTGGAAACTAAAGTAGCTCAACGTGCTTATAATGCATTTTTTTGAAGTTAAAACACAAAAGAAAAATTGATTTGATTTGACTAATTGATTTTTTATGTTAATCTTAGGTTGCAATTGAATTCACACAAACGAATATAAAAACTTATAAAAAAACGCCGTCGGGCAGTAAAAGTTTTTCAATACTTTATAAAAGAATTTCGAGATAAAATCGATAGATCTGAATTCATGCTTATAGAATATTTTCAAAAGTAAGATGAGAATATTTTTTTAAATTTTGATCAATTGATTTATCTAGACTTGTAAACTTCATGGGACATCTCAATCAATTGATGTATTTGATGAACAATTGTATGATTTACCAACTTTTATTGATTATTATTGAAATTATTGGAGTTAGTTGAATATATCTTTTTTTTACATATCATATGAATATTTGTATAAAACTTGATTATTTCAAAGTAATTCTATCATTATAAAACTGTTCATATTCACCTAGAGATTTTTTTTAGTCTAATTGTTCTATGTCAACAATTTTTTGTGATATTTAATTGATGAAAATTGATACTAATGAAAAAGAACAAATTGTAGCCCTCTATGAGTCTGTTCGATGCTTTTCACATGAAGCTTTTTCTTTAGAAAAATAATATCGAGATGATTTACATATTCCCTAGACTGAAAGGCTAGGGTCTAGAAACCGTAATTCACGTGTGTCTGTATGTCCGTCTGTCTGTCTGTCTGTCTGTCTGTCTGTAACAAGGGGTTGGCACAAATGACCATTTTTATGGCACAAATGACCATTTTTGTGGTACAAATGACCATTTCTGTGGTACAAATGACCATTTTTATGGCACAAATGACCATTTCTTTGGCACAAATGACCATTTCTGTGGTACAAACGACCATATTTATGGCACAAATGACCATTTTTATGGCACAAATGACCATTTCTATGGTACAAGCAACGATTTCTGTGGTACAAAATGACCATTTTTATGGCACAATTGACCATTTCTATGGTACAAACGACCATTTCTGTCGTACAAATGACCATTTCTGTGGCGCAAGGGACCATTTTCATGGTACAAACTACCATTTCTGTGGTACAAAATGACCATTTTTATGGCTCAATTGACCATTTCTATGACACAAATGACCATTTTCATGGCACAAATTACCATTTCTGTGGCACAAATGACCATTTTTATGGCACAAATGACCATTTCTATGGTACAAACGACCATTTCTGTGGTACAAATGACCATTTCTGTGGTACAAATGACCATTTTTATAGCAGAAATGACCATTTTTGTGGCAGAAATGACCATTTCTGTGGTAGAAATGACTGTTTTTATGATAGAAGTTATCATTTATATGATAGAAATAACCACAAAAATAACTCATCTTCTTGTCATCCTCTCGTCAGTCTAGGGCCCAGTGAATCGACCCTTGAGGTCGATGAACGTTACTTGTTTCTATAATGTTTAGAATATCTTATATAATTACTATCATAATGAACTGATTATGACTTTTCCTACTAATGTATGAAAAATAGAAGTTAAATCTTTCACTAAACAACCAAGAATACCATTTGAATATATTTAGTTTGATTTAACTATTATTTTAACTTATTTTTCATTCGCTTGAACAGATAATAAATAATTTGAAATCTTATCTCAATCGTTTTTTTCGTTTTTATTCTGATCACGATAGCGAAACCAAAAAAAAGATTTCAAAACATGTGAATATTAATTATTCTAGATGATGATGTTAATGTTGATGTTTGTGCTGTTGTATAGTTATTAGAAGAAAAAAGAAAAACAGGTTTTCATTCGAAAAATAAATATACTTATCATTTATTATCATAGAAATTCTATCAAAGTCGAAAATATTTTTAATTAAAAATTAAATTCGAATAAAGTTTTTATTTTATCGAAAGGGTAGGATGAAAGAAGAAAACAAACTTTCAAGAAAAATCTCTGGTTTTCATTAAAAATTTTCACATTTAAAGATATAAATTAGAGAAAAGCAAGAAAATAAAATTCAAATAAAATTTAGCTAATCAAACATGTTTTATTGATATCAGTGAACTATTTTTATTGAATATCGTTTATGAATAGGTTTATACAAATATTCCTTCATTTCATTGTTATAAATAAATATTTTCACAAGATTTTATCAATTTTCTTTTATTACAAGATAATTTTTTAACTTAAACTTTGAAGATCGTTCCCATTAAAACTTAAAAAATCTCTTTTATTATTTCAAACAATAATCAATAAAACCGATTAATAATCTTGTTAACATATTTTATCTAAAAAATCTCGATGATTTTACAAGATAATATAGTAATGAATTATTTACCGTTCGAATAAATCGCATCTATTTGACGTGTTAGTTCATTTAATCTTTAATTTCTCATTGGAAATATTTATTTAGTGCCAAAAAGTAAGCTAATTTTTTATTTAATTTATTTTATTAATGCACTATGGTCAAAATATCTACAGAATAGAATACGTCATTTTATAAGAAGAATTGAACGAAATTAATTATTATTTGTCTTTTTAATCGAACAGAATTTCGTGTTCATATTAATAATGAAGAAATAAATAAAAATGATATTTTTTTTTATTTCTTCATTATTAAATAAATTCAAAATTGAATTATTTAGATTTCTTCGCTTTCTTACATCGATGTCAATTCATCTATTTAATTAATTATTACAATCATTTTATACTATTTATTTATAAATGAGAAGATCTGATAGATAACTTCATTTAGAATAACACTCAAATATATATATTTTCCATTATTTGAAGACTGTTAAATCTCACTAATAAATTAAATCTGAATTCAGTTTGTTAGGTCCCTTCTATTTCTTATTATTCGTGCTTTTCGTCTTTTACATAATCTTCGATTATTAACGAAACGAAAACAGTGGCGGCGCGAAGAGGTCAAAGCAGCGGGGGATTCCTTCGAAAACGGAGAAAGGTGAAAATTTTTGTTTTTTGACCCGATTTTCTAAAAACATTTTTTTGAACAGTCTGGAATTTTCTCGAAAAAAGGAAAATTGAAGACCTTTTTTCTTTTTTGTTCTTCACTTGGGTTTCTTAAGAGGAGTCTATACCGAAGCTGTCCGCCCCCCCCCCCCCGGTCGCGCCGCCGCTGAACGAAAATAATCTGAACAATATTATCTAAGACATTTATTTGAAAAAAGAAAATACAATATAAAATCTTCTCTATTTTTTCAGAAAATTATTAATCATAACGAAAAATTCCAATAAAACAAATATCGTTTTAACTATCGATAATCAACATAATGAGTTTAGAAGCTCTCTTTGATGAGGGTGTGGGTACAGGTGTGGATAAGGATATGAAAGATTAAAAGACCCACACTCATACCCCACATTTACAGCCACATCCGCCCCCACACTCATATCTGCAAAAGTAAAATATGTGGTACGCTCAAACCTACAAAATTTAAATTAAAAAAAATATGTACTAAATGTTCAAATTTTCAGCATATAATTCATTGGTTTCTCTTTCGCGTTTTTGCGACAAGTTTGTGACAGTTTGGGCATGTTTGTTCTGGAAGCTGCAAGAAAAAAACCAGTTATTGAAGATTTCTTTTTCTGTTTGCCACTATTTACCTTTGCTACTGCAGTACAACAGTTCATACGATCAATGCACATGATGATATCACCACAGAAGCCGCACCACGGCAATGAACTTACACAAGAAATACAATCGTATGCTTCGTTAGAATCAACCAATTCTGTTTATATTGGGTGTTTACAATATGGGCACGGTACAAAGCATATCTTTGAGGTGGCGTTTCTGCCGGCTGTCGTTGGTGGTGTATCATTTTTTGACAATACAAATAGTTCAGGTGGTTGTGAATGTGGCCGATATGCTTGAACTTGTTCAGGAGGAGCAGAGAAAGCATCTTGCGAATTTGTTAAGTACTGTGGCCCTGATTCTACTTCCCATGACTGAGAATACGAAGATTGTTGCGGTCTTAATGGCTGTGGATAAGAAAATGATGGATAATTCGGTACTATTTGTCTTGGGTGAGAATGCGAAGAATGCTCCGGCGTATAATAATAATGGGGTCCTAATGGTAGTTGTTGTGGGTAGTAGTACATAATGTGTCGTGGTTCATAATATGATGGCTGTTGATGGTACGAATTATACACTGCTGTTTGTGGATAACTGGTCTGTGGTGTATATAATTGATAAGAATAATACAGTGGAGATGGTACGAGCTCTTGGGAAGACCAATATGTATTAGCTAAATATGAATGCATGATGACTCATATGAATGGATCTGTTCATTTTTGGCAAATGCGTGCGAAGCATTTAGAATAATTGCAACATCAGAAAAGTTCAGGGGTATGATTAAGAGCATAACTATTGGTGACTAAATCATGTTTCGAATGCGCTATACAGATCTATATTTGATACCCCTTATTTAAAAGTGTGCTAAGCAGAAGTAAGTAAATCAGTGGCAGAGGCCAAACCGGATCGAGGAGAAGCATGGTTAAGCCCCCCCCCCCCTTAGAAAAGCCATTTTTTCGCAAAGTAATCGAAGTCGAGTTTTTATCATAGGAAGATGCAGCGAAGTTTCCTCTTTCAGAATATATATAAACTTTTAAAAAAAGGTCAAATTTGTACAGACTTTTCTAGGAGATTTCCACCTCACTACCCGGTTTTCGGAGAGATTTTCGGGGTTTTTGTTATTTGTAGGAAGACTAATTTGTTTACTTCTGTCAGCATGGAATCAACATTCTTATATCATATAGTACGACCGGTAGTGCTAGCTTACGCCATATATTGCGTGCTTTCAAGAATTCCACATAAATATTATCATTATACCATTATTTCCTGCACTTGAATGAAAAATCCATTTCTAAAACTTTTTTCTCGTTTTTCTCAGAACATGGTTTTCGATTAGAAAAATTGAAATAACTTTCACCCAGTTCAAGATATAATCAATATTTGTTTTTGTTTTGAAGGTCTCGAAAAGGGTAAACTTTTGTCTGAACCGATTTTTTATAATTGATTCCTGATTTGAGAAAAGTGGAATTTATTGTCGCTGAATCACCGTTTTTCGTGCTTATTTTAAGACATGTCTACTGAAATATTCATAAAAAATGAACAATATAGAATTTAAAAATTCTGTTCAGACAAAAGTTGCGTACTGAAATTGGCTTTAATTTGAGACCAGCCCGAACTCGATACCACATGTTATGGTCAAGTTATATCGATTCTTCTGAAGGCCAACAATGACCTATGATTCAGCTGAAACTCCGGTCTAGTAAGGCCAATCACGCTGAAATTTTTATCAGAGACATATCTCTCTAGGATCACTCAACCCTGAAAGTTTCAGCTCTCAAAACTCATTCTAAGTGGGAAATCATTTCTGAGGGGGGGGGGGGGGGGGGGG